ACTCTCTTGCACGACTTGAAGCTTCCATGGCAGCCCAAGGGAGGCTACCACCTTCTCTCTCCTCATTTGAACTTCATTTATTTGTCAAAACATAGTAGGGCTTTTGCATTTTGTGTTCGTGTTGACTACGCGCTTCTTTCACCCTTATTAGAACCCATTTCTGGCCAGATTTTGAGTTTGGTTTTGAATTCAAGTTGTGATTTTCATGGGTCCTCTTTGGAGTTTATCGTTCATGGCGTTGTCCTCGACGAAACCCCGAAGTATTGTCCGATTCGGAGCCGTTTCGTTTTGATGGCTTTTGAGATTTTCATCTCAAATTAAGGTAGGGGGTGTCTCAGGTTTATATTATTGTTGTATTGATTGTTTTATAAGCATATACAACTTGTAAGCATGCCTTGTTCAAGTTTTTAGAATTTAATTTATTTATTTTCTTTGTTTAGGATTTAATTCTAATGATGATATATAGTTTAGAATTAAATTGTGGCATGCTAGTAAATTAGGCCTTGGTGAGTTGTGTAACATATATTAAATTTGGAGCATTTGAGTAAGAATTGCAAAACTTATTTAATATTTATCTTTTGTGAAAGATTAATTCACATAGTTGTATCAAGCATGAAACCAACTTGTAATGTGATATTAAAGTAGGCCTTGGTGAGTTCTTTAACATATATTAAATTGAGGACATTTAGATATGTTTGAAAATCTAGAGAAAAATTAATTAATGAGCTTAATTAATTTTATTTTAAGTGTGTTGGTCACTTAAATTGATATTGGAGGTAATAGGTTGATAATCCCTTGAAATGTAATCTATTTAATCACCTTGTGAGCATGTTACTAATTTGATGTAGAATTAGTACTTGAGACCTCTTGAAATGGTAATTGGACTTAGCATGATATAGAATATCATTGACTTGCATAGCTTGTTTAAATATATCTTGTATAGGTGTATAGCTTGTTAAATATTACAATTGTTTACCTTGGAAGCTAGTTACTAAATTGGGACTTATTTTGTACTTGTGGCTTAGTGTGGTAATGTGGTTCAATTGTTGTAAAATATTCTTGTTTTGGTGTATAAATTGCATATTGGAGGCTTGACATGTCATATGCTATCTAGACTTGAATTATAGGACATGGTTTGTATGGATTCAACCTTATTTGTGCATGGAAGATAGTTTTATGCATTAGTGGATTTGGTATAAGTTTAGTATAACTTATTGATTTTTGTATAAGTTTTGGACTTATTGATTTTGGAAAGCTTGTAAGGACATATTTCACGTGATGGCTAGGGTTTGGCTTTAGTGCGAAGACAAGAGTCTTCTAAGTCATAAATGCGCACTAGGTAGTACCTTATGGGTCGTAATTGCCCGGAATAACTTATGCATGTGCGCACTAGGTAGTGCCTTCTGGGTCGTAATTACCCGGAAACACTTGCTTGGTCTAGTGACCACATACCCTAGTCTTTTTACTTTGATTTCGCATTCAATTTCAAGTTGTTAATCATGGATTACTTGTAACTTGAGAATTAGTGCTTGCTTATGTAATTTGATCTTATTTAGTATACTTGAAACTGTATACTTGAACTTATATCCTTGTTGGTGTATCCAAACTCTATCTAGTGTATTTACGCTTAGTATGCTTGTCTTGTGTGTGTGGATTTCATTTTTGTATACTTGTGCCATGTATACTTGTCTTGTGCGTATATGTTTAGCTTAGTATACTTGTGTTTGTATCCTTAATTTATGAGTACTCTATACATATATCTTATACTTGTGTATGTATGCTAGATATTGCTTATCCCGTTTAACATAATTTAGTATACTTGTGAGCATGTGTACTTGAATGTCGTGTATCATGTTTTAATACGGTTTAGTGTACTTGAGCATGTATACTTATATGCCGTAGTTCATTTCAATTGCATGAGTAGCTTAGGATGATCCCTGAGTCTCACTTTGACATAGACGTTAGGTGACATGAGCCCCTCTAACATGTTTCACTTTAAGGTGATAGAATTGTAAAATGTTAGGTCGATGCATGTTCATTTCCTACGAGTAACTTTATGTTACTCACCCACGTAGTGGGGACATTTTTCAGGTACCGGGATCAAGATTCGGGATTCACATCATGCTTGGATGATTTGTAGACTTAAAGTTCTCATTTCTTGTAAATGTTGGCTTGAAATGCCATTTATAGCTTTATATGTCAAAATGTGTAAATTTGATTCTATTTTTATAATGTGTACATAAGTACACTCTTTACAATGTATTTGACATGTATGAGATGAGGCCATAAGCCAATGACATGTATCTTGCTTTCTATGCACTTTCGTTTTCAAGGCTTAATATGAAAATGTTGAAAAATGCTTAGACATTGTGTCATAACTTTTGCATCGGGTGTGGGAATTTTATTTTTATTCTTTCGTAGGGTCTCATTAATCATGTTTGAAGTGTAGCTAAGGGCCAAATGGTAATTTGAAATCATTTGTCAATTTTGGTTTCCATATTTTCAATTTCAAGTTTATTTTCGCCTTTTTGGCCGTTGGGGGGTCGGATTTGACTCAGCCATTTTTGGGAGCCGCAGACCATTCCCGCACACTCAAAATCACCATTTACGTCTGCAAGTATGATCGTTTCCGGGAAAACCCTTTCATTTGTGATTTGAGCCTCCTATGGAACCATTTTTCAATTTTGTTGCATAATCTGTTCTAGGAGCATTATAGACTTTTCATATCAGTTTTATTTTCTTCTTTCAATATGGTCGCTTAGAAATCGTGATTTTAGGGGGGGTTTCTTCTTCGTGTTTTTCCAGAAAACATCTTCTTGGTACCGGAAATCCCTCGTGAAGTTTCAGCTTCCAGTTTCATTTTAGCAGCTTTTTAGCTCTTTTGACCAGATTTCTTGGGAGGGAATTTTGGCTATTTTGCAATGCGTTTTTTTTTTTTAATTCTTCGTGAGTTACGTAGAAAACTCAATTTTGAGGGGGGTTTCTTCTTTGTGTTTTTGCAAAAAAATTCATCTAGACCTCTAAATTCAGCCTCTGTTCTGGAATTTTCTGGAAAAAAAAACCACACAGCAGCTTTATGGGCTACTGCCAGCCATGGTGCACCCAGCGCGCGCGCTGCGCGCATGGGCGTGCGCATGGGGCTGTCATGGCCCCTCATCGGGCCGCCGCAACTTCAATTCTTCTTTTGGGCGTTTCTCCTTCGTCCGGACTCTGATTCAAGTGAATTTTTTTTTGAACTTGATTAATTTTTCATCGTCTATCCAACGGTGTACTTGGTTACACCCGGATATTTTGGATAATTAACAGTTTTCCCTTAAAGCTATAAGTGTCTGTTTTTCATCGTCATGCCGTTTCTCCTTCGTCCGGACTCCGAATCATGCGATTCTTGAGTCCATCTTGATTAGTTTTTCTTTGTCCTTCCAGCAGTGTGCTCGGTGGCACCCGAATCTACACTTTTCAGAAATGAATTTTTGCCCTTGGGGGCTTATTTGTCATATTTTCAATCTTTTGCTTCCGCATCGGTTCTTATTGAGTTCGACGACCTCATGGATGGTCACTTTGACTGCTTAGAGTCTTATTTTTTGTTTTCGCTTCCGCATATCAGATCCGTTATCGGGTCAATCTTCGGTTCATCACAGGACACGCTGGCCTAAAAACCAGGGTCGTCACAGGTTGAGGCAAGTTTGTTTTACCATTTTACAACTACAAAACTTGTGGTCTTACTCATATTCTTGTTGTAGTTGGGTTTGATGTCTCAAACCTCCATCTGTTTGATTGTTTTTCTGGTTTAGCCTTCTGTTATGAGTATATATGCATGTTATCTTGCTGTGAGTTGAACTCTTATCATTTGATTAAGTTTCTATAGTTGAGTCAAGGCTGTACAAGTTGGTATTTGCACTAAGAAATGGTCAAGTTGTGTTTTTGTCTTTTGAAACCCCAGTTTTAGGGTTTTCTGCAGAATTAGCCCTATTGAACTAAGACTTTGATGTACCTTGCTTGAATCATTGAGAATATCATTTGAGTAGGTGTATAATATTGGTATAAGGTTGAGGGTGCCATTTTCAGGTCCGTGACAATACCAAATTCCAGTTTTACCCTTGCAAGCACAGATTCTAAAATTCTAGTTTTACCCTTGCAAGCACAAATTCTGTAGAATGTTGTTGTGTTGCTACTGTTGATACTTTAAGCTGTACATTCACTCATATTTTGTGTAATAGCTTAAGTATTATTGTAAATGTATTTGGTAAGCTGTGGGAGCTCATAGGGTTCAAGCAGGGTTACTTAGGGTAAGGGGGAGCTCATAGGGTTCAAGCAGGGTTACTTAGGGTAAGGGGAGTGTTTGTATACATTGTTTTGAGGTGAGGTGTGTGCAGAGTGAGAGACAGCTGTGTGTGTATCTACTTCCATAATTAGTGGAGCTTACATTGGTTGTGGCCAAGAACCAATGTTTTTGATCTTTAGTTGAGAGATATTTTCCTTGTAAAAATCAATGAGCACTCATGGTTGAATGTGTTAACCTTTTATATTGAAATATCACTAAGTGTTGGAAGTATTTTTATAAAAGATTCAACTCAAACAACCCCCTTGGGTTCGTCATATAACTTCTTTATTTAATTCAATATATAAAAATTTATTTAAAGAATGAAATAATAATAATAATAATAATTCTATATACAAAATTATTTTTACATTTAATTTTTTATAATTTATTTTAAACTTTTAGAATGTTATTTATTTTAATAAATAAAATGTTTGTATAATATTATTTATATATAATAAATAATAATACAAAATAATTCTTTTTTTTTTTATTGTTAATTTTTTTTTTAATTTACCATTATATACACATTTTCGTTCATGATCTGTGTTTTACTAGTAGTTATAAGTGTACTAAAATTATTATTGAAAAAAAAAAAAAAACATTTTTTATTCCCTGCAAGCTACATCATTCCGAAAGAGAGAGAGAGAGAGAGGGGGGGAGGGGCAGAGAGAGATAGATATTAGGTTTCTTAATAAGTTGAGCTCTCTATTATATTAATATATGGTCTTAACTTTTATGACAGAGAGTACTTTGTATACACATTGCCCATATACTATTCAAAATTTAATCAAAGTGTCTATTCTTGCCACGTCACCACTACAGGTGAAGTGACTTTGTGTTTGCCATCTGTCCAAGTCAACTTCCCTGACTCGGTGAAAATCTCACCTGGTGGCTGTTTCTCTGCTGTTATCCTAACCTCGTAACTCTGTTTTTCACCCTTTCGTTTGAACTCTAACTTCAGAGGATTAACGGTCGCGATTGCACCTTTTGGATTTACAACTGTTGCTGTGTAGCTCGATGCACCATCACTAACATGCGTCACAGTTCTTCTAATTGTAAACTTCAAATTAGACGGTCGTGATGCATCAGGAGCTACGGATATTGCAGGGTAGTTCAGATCCCACGGCTTAGATTTCTTCACCTTACAGCTCACTGATCTCCTTGTGATTTGCCTTATTTGATCATTACTGTAGTCGGACCCACACATAAAGTTCACATAATCATCTACCGTCATATCATAAACCAAACCAGGATCAACGGCCATTTCCGGATTCACGTGTCCTGCACCTGTGGCCCACACATTCGATATGTTATACGTTCTTTCATCAAGTAACGGTTTACCATCGCGATCGTTCATGTAAGCGGTGGTCATGAGGGCGGACTTGATCATAGCCGGTGACCAGTCAGGGTGGGCCCCTTTGAGTAAGGCGGCGATGCCTGACACGTGTGGGCACGACATCGACGTGCCCGAGGCTATGTTAAATTCTGTGCGCCGCGTGTCAGAATCTATCTCCGTGGGTGCCACGTCATCAGGCCATGCTGCTAAGATGTTGACACCTGGCGCAATCACATCCGGTTTGATGACGTTTACCGATTCTGTATTGGGTCCCCTTGACGAGAACGAGGCAACGACAGGTGCCGGCTTTACCCGGACTTGGGTACCACGGAAAACCATGGTGGCGTTGGGGTTCTTCGAAGAGGTCATGTAGTGACGAAGAGTATCACTGGCTGATTCGGTGATGGCGAGTCCAGGGATCAAATGTGCGTCGGCGATCAAACCCTCACCCTCAGGATAAACATTAGCGACGATCACTCCGGCCCCACCAGCTTTCTTCACAACTTGTCCTTTCACGGCACGTGGAGCGCCGCCTCTATCGCAAACCACGATCTTGCCACGTACTTTCTCCTTGTTCAATGATTCCGGTGCGCAGGTGTTTTCGGTGAAACCTCTGGTCGCCGAGGCATTACTAGCGAGAATGATGGGCAAATATGTCTTTTTGGGCAAAGGTTTACCAGTGTATAGTGAAGCTCCGGTGATGACCCGACCATCTCCGAGTAAAAGATCGGCTGGGAACTTTCGGTCAATCGTGCTCGCACCGACGGTGGTGATCCACGGAGCTATGTTAGATACTGTTGTTGCAGAGGGACCTCCGTTTCCGGCTGACGCCGAAACGAAAATGCCTTTTTCCATTGCACCATAGCATCCGATGGCAATTGGGTCCATGAAGTACGGCTGAGCAGCGCCGCCGACGGAGATGGAGATGATGTCGACACCGTCTTCCACCGCCTTGTCAAAGGCGGCTAGTATGTCAGAATCCAAACAACCCCTCTTCCAACATATCTTATACACTGCAATTTTCGCTTTGGGTGCAATTCCGACCGCCACCCCTTTGGCTAACCCGAGGAGGGAAGCGTCCCGGACGTTCCTTCCGGCGGCGGTGGACGCCGTGTGAGTGCCGTGGCCTACGGAGTCTCTCGCCGACTTAATGTCGGTGGTGTTGTTGATACTTCCAGCGCTTGCTTCATACCCATCAGTGAAATATCTAGCTCCGATGATCTTCTTGTTGCAGAGCGTTCTCGGAAACTTCTCACCTTCCGAACACACTCCTCTCCAGCGAGAAGGAACCGGTCCGAGGCCTTCGTCGTTGAAGCTACGTCGTTCCGGCCATATTCCGGTGTCAAGAACGCCGATTATGACATTAGAACCCGAATCAGACTCTGTTAACAAACCAGTAGGATTATTAGAAGCGAGACCGAGAAATTGAGGCGACCGAGTCGTCTGAATTTGCCGAATTCGGTCTGGTATGACCGACAGAACACCCGGCCGACTCTTCAGTTCTTCGGCTTCTCGGGCTGTGAGTTTGGCCGAGAAGCCATGGAAGACAGTTTTGTATACATGAAGGAAACCTTTATCAGTTTTGGTTTCTTGGGTTTTCAAAGTTTCAGAGGTTAGGCTTCGGAGAGTTGAACTATACCACTGTTTAACGTCCGTGAACACAGATGGTTTCAAGTCGTTTCGGACTCTTACAATGAAGGTTTGGGTATCTGATCCGTCGACGGTAACGTCGAAGGAACTGAGACAGAGAAAGAGAGAAACAGTGAAAAACAGAGACCAAAAACAACCCATTTGAGAATAGTGTGTGAAAGTTGGTGAATGAGTAAGTGTGTGTTTATAGTGCGTGTGTCAGTGGCCTAGAGGAATTTCCTTACGTGGGTGCAATATTTAATAGCAACAAAATACTACCTCTATAATTTCCGGGAAAAAAAATATACTACCTCTATCTAATATTAAGAACACACTATCTTATTTTTAGATTTTCTAAATTAATTGTCTAATTTTGAAAAGTCAAAATAAAAAAATTTCATCTTTTCATTATTGTCATTTGTATTTTTTTAAAAAATTCAAACTTATTTATGTAAGTATATTTAGGACGATTTTTCAGATTATTCATTATTATTTCAAAATTAAATTCATTCAATTAAATATATTAAAAAAAAATCATATTCAATGAGTCTAAAAATAAAATATGAAAAAGAAAATAACATATTTACCTAAATGTTCTAATATACTAAAAATAGAAAACCATGATAGCCAAATCTAACCTTATAAGTTATAAACAGATAATTCAATCAATCAGAAAATTTGATAGAGTAACTGAATATGTGATTTCATTGATTTGGGTTGCAAATAAAACAAAAAAAAATTCTTATTTAGAGAATAATAATTAGTAAACCTAAATTTTGAAAGAACAACAAGGCCCTAAAATAATTTTGATAGTAATAACTAATATACTAAAAATAGAAAATCATGGTAACCAAATCTAACCTTATAAATTATAAGCAAATAATTCAATCAATCAGAAAATTTGATAGAGTAACTGAATATGTGATTTCATTGATTTGGGTTACAAATAAAAAAAAAAAAAATTCTTATTTAGAGAATAATAATTAGTAAAACTAAATTTTGAAAGAACAACAAGTCCTAAAATAATTTTGATTGTAATAACTAATAATTTTTCTAATTAAAATTATAATATCAAATAATAATGGTAAATTTAGATGATAAAAAAAAAAAAAAACCATATGACTGACTAAATAGTTGCTCCGTTTACCTTGTTTGGATTTTGAAAAATGTTGAATACTGAAGATGTGATTGAAATAATCCATTTGTTTGTGATAAAGTCAAAAGTGTGATAGAATATTTTGATGAAATGTAATTTTTTTGAAAAGTGGAAAAGAATATAATATAAAATCATATTTTCTGGGAAAATATAAATTGATAGATAATATTATATATATTTACAATTGTGTCATTTTATTTTATTTATTTATTTTTTTAATTGATACTTATATACACATACCTCTACCAAAGTTCGAACCTCTTATCTCTTTTGAAAAGTAGGGGCTTGATATACTTGGCCGTTGGTTTGGGAATTAGGGGCCCGAGGTTTTTTTTGTTTTGTTTTGTTTTTTTTTTAAATTTTTAAAAATATTATAGAAATATTAAAATCCTTTCGCACAAATTATAAAAAAATTAAAAATTTGGTGGGGACAGTTGCCCCACTTATCCTTATGCGGCTACGCTACTGTTTACACACACACACACACACGTATATTGTGAAAATTTTTAAAAATATTATAGAAATATTAAAATCTTTTCGCACAAATTATAAATTAAAAATTTGGTGGGAACAGTTGCCCCACTTGTCCTTATGCGGCTACACCACTGTTTACAGTGGAAGAGCGATGTGGATTGAAGGAAAGTTTGAAACAAAGGAAGTATAAAGTGAGAGAGAGGACAAAAGAAAGGTTACATGTAAGACAAATGCAAAGTGGAGGCCAGAGAAAGATCTACAGATAGAGATTAGCATGAATTAGTGGAGAATCATAATCCCTTTTGTTTGTCTGTAACGGTTACATATGAGTTCGTGAAGTCATGGTGACAAAAGAGAGAGAACATACAGAAATTCTTGTCATGACATTACTGCGTTTCACACTCAGGACTAACATGGAACATGTTTTGGTGTGGTCAAAAAAGGGTCATGGAGGTGTAGATGTGTCCAACATTAGTTGTGGATTTTAATTTCTTATGAAACATCTGTGTGTGTGTCTTTCTGCTAGAAAATAAACAGATATGAAAAACCCACCAATAACAATAACAGCACTACAAATTCATAGATATCAAGAAAGGGATTTGATTTTAACATTAATTAATTGTGGATTTTAAAATGAATAGTTTTTGTCATAAAGCAATGCATGTCGTCCACTTGGGATAAAGGCAAAAATGATATGCCAAATATAAATATTTGTGTGACAGGACGATATAATGAGACCTGTTATCTTTAAATATATATATATATATATATATATATATATAAAAATGAAAATTTGAATGGAATAATGACAAAATTTTGTTGCTGACAATGTATTAATAACATCGAAACCCTATTCAAATTAAATAGTCAGGAAAGTTTTTGTTAAAAATATATTCTGATGTTCAAGTTCTAACCGTCTTTATGCTGATATGTCATAAAATAATTAATAATACATTAAAAATTAATTAATTAAATATATAATTTTATATTTAATTAATCATGCAAATTAAAATAATAAAATAATAATAAGAAATAAAAAACTTGTACCGAGACTAGTATTAGGTTCTATATCGATTATTAAGATAATTTATGCTCCGCATGGTGTTGATATACTCTACAACGGTGTAGATCTACCAACAGCAACACTACAAACTCATGAATATGGCAAACCTCCTCTATGTAATACTCAAAAATGCATCTATACTATATAAATGCTAAATTGGGTGCAATCAATCTGAACAAAATGGTTTGGATCAATCTTAATATAGCTCGATGAAATTGGATTAGGGTCTAAGTAGCTCGGACCACTTGACCTATGATTTGAACTCACTTAAGTTGGGTTGAAGTTTAGAGAGGGAGAGAGAAGAAAATGAATTGAACAAGTGAATTATAACAGTCCAAGTGGGTATTTATATCTCTTCATAATTAGATACAATCATTTATATGTGTTTCTTTTATATTATTTGTGTGTATCTGTTCATCACCAGTACTCTACTATAATAAGTTACAATGGTTCACATTGAGCATATTATGTCTGCTGAAACAGTGCCATGAAAACGATTGAAAGCTCGAATTCAAAGGAATGGTGGTGAGGGGTGATGGTCATTACATTTGATACTTTGTACTTTGTAGCCAATTAATCATTCTTTTACATTATCGACTTAAAAAAGTGGCCCTTTCCTTTCCATAGTGGATTTTTAATGGTTAGCAATCAAAGCCACCAACAATGTTAAAACTTGATTTCTTGGCAGTGCTCACTTACATATCCGATCCTGGTGGCACTAAAAAATGGTAGGTGGGATAGTTGGCTGTATAATTAAACGTGTACAGTTAGATAAGTTAAAAATCACTTTATTAAAACAAAGTGCTTCATATGATGGAAAGAGTGATGAGTAGTAGGGGTCATCGCTGATAGGATCGATTCAGGTAGCCCCAATAAATCTCGGGAAGTTTTAATCCAATCTGATCCTATTAATAAAATATAGGGTATTTATACAAATTAGGCTTTTCTAAACAGTCTCAATAATTTTTTTTTTTTCTCTATAACACCCCAATAATTATCAATTTATTAAACATGATGAAACATAATCAAGGGTTTTGTAGCCTAGTCGTATACTAGTATTTTTTCACCTTTCAGAATAGAAAGTTGAGAATTCAAGTCTCCATTAACACGTTCAACAACAAAAGAGGTGGGTTTAGGTTTAGGGTTATACAAAATTATTATAAGCATGGAAGATAGTTATTTCACAATATTAGTTTAAAAAATATTTGTTTAGAAAACATTAAATAAGGAGATAAGTGGTTTAGGAAGCTTTTAAATAGGTAAAGTAGTGATTTTGTCAAGGAAAAAGATGGGTTTGTAATAGGACCATTAAATTATGAGTGATGATAAATAAACCAAATAAAACAATGACCTGTCTTGGCCACGTCATTTAGGCAAACAACTTTCCAAAAAAAATAAATTGGCCAATAAATATAAAGACAAATCTATCCTCAATGTTTAGCCTTATCTTCATTTCATATCCATTACATTCTCTCTCTACCAGATTACGATTACTCATAAATTTTCTTCACTTTTTCTCTTCCAAAATTTAGCCATATGTACCTCTCTCAAATTCTCATCATTTTCTCTCTCAAAGATTTGAATATGAAATTACTTTTGAAATTCTATTTTAACTTTTTCTCTCTCAAAAAATGTATACATATGTCTCTCTCTCTCTCAAATTTTATTCAGTTTATTTCTAAAATTTGTGTCTGAATTATCTTCTCTAAAATTCTTTTGAACTTTTTCTGCCTAAAAATTTAGAGATCTCGCTCTCAAATTCTCTTTGCCTTTTCTCTATAAGATTTGGGTTTGACTTTCTATTTCATCTCCATGTATTTGCTTTCCCCACCATTCATTTGTTTTTCATTTCACATCTGCCCCTAAAAACCTTCAAATTTGTCGCCATGACTTTATTAGGCTTTCTCTTGTATCTCTCTTTCTTCCATAAACCCTAATCTCCAAACTTTATTAAAATGGGTCTATTGTTGATGTGACGACCCTGATTTTTCAAGCCAGTGCGTTCTGTAATGAACCGAAGGTTGATCTGATAACCGATCCAGATGCGGAAGCAAGAAACAAGACAACGGTCTCCCAAGGCACAACAGACCTCTAAGACACTTTGATGACCTTCCATGAGGTCGTGGAACTCAATGAGAACTGACGCGGAAGCAAAAGATCAGAAAAATAACAATTAAGCCCCTAGGGGCAAAATAGTCATTTCTGAAAATATTGATTCGGGTGTCACTGAGCACACCGCTGGAAAGACAACGAAAAGGAGTCCATCTTATTAGTTTTTCATTGTCTTTCCAGCGGTGTGCTCGGTGGCACTCGAATCCATATTTTCATAAATGACTATTTTGCCCCTAGGGGCTTAATTGTTATTTTTCTGATCTTTTGCTTCCGCGTCAGTTCTCATTGAGTTTCACGACCTCATGGAAGGTCATCAAAGTGTCTTAGAGGTGTGTTGTGCCTTGGGAGACCGTTGTCTTGTTTCTTACTTCCACATCTGGATCGGTTATCGGATCAACCTTCGGTTCATC